AGACAAGTCCGCTACCAATTTCCCGACCCTGGAGGGATGAGAGGCTTGGTTTGGCCGCTGCGGAATCGAACTAGCACCATGCTCGTGATGACAGAAATCACTATCACTGTGCTATCAGCCACTTCAACAAAAAATTATAAATGCGATTAATGCGATAAAATACGTTCTCTTCTAAAATTCTATAGAGTTCAAAACTTTGAAGCACACTAATGATCGAGAGATCATTTTCAAAGATTATCGCCGACTATCGAGAAATTAGCATCGTCGTGAATCTGCCGATGAAGTCATACGTTTGCTCATGACCCAATGAATCAGTCTTAACGTTTAGAAGATAACGATTCATTAGAACATTAAATCGTTGCAATGGCTTAAGAAACGTTCATGTACTGACCGTTCACAATGCCCACTATGGTTATCGTGAAAACCATTATGCTGTGGCTGGAGTGTTGAAGAACAACGTGACTAATGCGATATTTAACTTTTATTTACTCGCTATGGTTTTTTCACGGCAGAATACGATGTGAAGTACAACCATAAGGATGCTGAGCAAAACCACATGTATCACACTGTGGAGATCCCGAAATTTATTGGATTCGATTCAATTCCTCGCGTCAATCATGCACCAAGGTCTTTGAAGCTTCTCCGCGTGGCTTCGGCTGCCGCTTGAGGAGTTTTTCGTCTTCGTAACGTCATCAAGTTCAATGCACGTTGGGTTGATTCTTTCTGAGATGGCCTGCTAGGGTGTGCCATATGAATTTGAGGAAGTGAGCTTGTCCTAAACAAGTCTCATACAAATTTGTCGACAGCGGATGCATGAGAAGCTGATGGGTGCGAGGCGGAGTCGGACAAGCCCCTGAGCAGGTCATAAAAGTAAGAAAAACCTCTCGGCGTTGATCAATCCCCGAGGGATTCACCGTGTATTCGACTCATTAATTCATTAAGCATCATTGGAGGTGATTGAAAGCATATCTGGCATTTACAATGACTCGCGATGGTCTACCGATATACCGAGCCAGTGATGCTATCCTCACAGACAAGTCTGGTACCAGTTCACCATACCCGGTGAGATGGAAGGCTTGGTGAACCATGGACGCGAGAACAGATCCCATGTGTGTGTTGCAGGGCAGCTCCGACCACTGCGCCACCCTAAAAGTATTAAAAACTAAAAAGGCTTGCACATACTTCATTGAAATTCCCTCTATTTGGCAAAAATCGTCAGAATTCAATGCTACTTTGGTTTAGAAGCGCTTCCTTCAACAAATTCCCCTTCCCAACCTTAAATAACCTCTCAAAAAATGAATGCAGTGCTCTTCAAACGGCCGCGTCACACACTTGTGTCACATTTCCAGTACTATAAATATTAATTTTTTCCACTACTGCTCTATTTAACAGAAAATATCGACCAACAACAACACGGAAATGTGTAACTGGTATTCTAGTCAGTACTTTCGTATAGGAATGGAAATGGCGATTACCTCTATCACATGGAAGCACTTTGTTTCATTAAAGAGAAGTAGTAGCTTTTGAACGTGAAATAATGGGAAAAGTTCTTCTGCTAGAAGGAGAGGAACTAATGGAAGATTCCGATGACGAAGGTTTCCAACGCATAACCTAGAAGTGGAAGGGAGTGAAGTGTTAATGGTGCCATCACGACTCGTCAGTGGAGAACAAGCGCTTGCCGTCGTCAGCATCAAAGCCATAACAAGCCAAAAGACGACACAAAAAAATTTCACTAGGACGAGTTATCAATCACTTCGGTGGCTTCCTCACAACGGCGTTGGATCACATCGTTAGGACTCTTGGCGAAAATTAATCCATTTTGAGGTGTTATCTCAGTTTAACTCTTATCTACATTATCCATCAAAAATTCACATAAATTTCGAAGGAAATCATCTCATGCACATATGACTCACGCCATTCGTTTATTTTTTCACATAACCCGTCTTCACGTATACTGCTCGGATTTCAGCACTTCTCGCATTGCAAGAAAATTTTCGAACTTTTTGCGTATGGGGTCGAGTGCTGCTCAGGAATTCTGCATTTGTCATGAATATCGTTGAATGCTAGTCAAGTCGATTCTTTCTGAAGTCCTACGATAGACAGGTTAGAGCGTTCCCATTTTGACTACAGAAAGTGAACCTTTCGCAGACAAGTCTGATAGTAATTTGCTCACTCCGGGGAGATGAGAGGCATATTTCACCGCCGTGGCTATAATCACCCTTTCCCACGCTCACATGCTCATTAGAAATAGGACTTTATTTCCCTTAATATTTGTGGAGAATATCTCTAATAGGGCGCTGGAGCAATCTTACGCACATCGAGAGGGCATTAGATAACGTACTGTTAGGTTCTTAACAACTAAGGAGACTCGACAGATCACAAGATCTTGCAGAAAATTAGTAAAATTTTACGGGAGTTGTTCGTGCTTAACGCACCATTTAACACTCCTATCTTTAAAGGAGTCATCTCAGACCAAAACAAACTTTGTTAATTGAAATAAAATCCATTCCAGTCTATTAATTTTTCTCCACAGGAAGCAAATCTACTTGTTCTAGTAACACAAAAGCCCGGATTTCGGGGGACGATTAAGTACCTGAACGGTGTTTCGCCATCAAGTGCGCTCCTGAATCATTTCTGGTACAGAGAAATGCCGAGATGCTTGCAAGAATGACATTCCTTAGACAGGAAATCGGGCCTGTTTAGTGAGTGTGGCACAGTTTCGCATTCCATCTCGGTCAACGCTTGCGGCGTCGACTGTACGAAGTGTTGCCAATTCTTGCTGCATCTATTTGTCGAAATTTCTCGCCTTTCAAATATTCTTTAAACGCTCGGAAACAGCTGGAAGCTTATAACGAATTTTCCACTTCCCCGTACAGTAGTGTTACTTGTTTCCACCGAAGCAACAAATTCATTGTCGGCGTTCTCCGTGACCTCGCTCATCCTCAATATTGAATTCGCTAAGACGAAATGTTTGAAACTAAAGCTGCATTTTCCATTCATTAACATTTCCTTTGCTCCATATCTGTTTAATATTCTGAGCCGCTCGCGCCGCCTGAGGCTGAGCATGAATTCGTAAAAGTAAATTTGTCGAAATTGCTGTAGCCAATAAACTTTCTTTCTTTCTTCTCCTTAATTTCTAACCAACAAACTTTGTTACAGGCTGATAACGAAATTTATGCCACATTGAGATGTCGAGCATCAACTCCGATCATCGGTTCTGATGAAAACGAAGACGTTGGAACGTTAGACGAAACGAATTTCGTTATCAACCTCGTATAAGATCAATCATTTAAACACATGTTGACTATTTTACTACCGAGGTTAAATGACGAATGATGATTCGAAAATTATTTTGTTAGAAGTTTAATTTGAAGGAGTGGGGTTCCCGAAAATTTTGCCGCACTAAGCCGGCGGACGGATAGCGCGAACCTCACTGAGAAAGGTTCCAGCCAACACTTTAAAAAAAGTAAAAATAGAAGTATAACTTACTTTTATTCTCTTTCATTTTATATGACCCGTCTTCATGTCTACTGTGCGGATCCCAGCACTTTTCACATTCGATTCGTTTCCACGCACCCATCGTCCACGAGGATCTTCCAAGTTTTGACGTGTGGCTTTGGCTGCTGCTTGAGGAATTCCATATCATTTTGAATGTCGCCGAATGCTGGTCGAATCGATTCTCATTGGACCCTAGGTTGGCCGGGCTGGAGCGTTCCCAATTGGATTGTAGAGGGTGGTTTTTCACGGATAAGTCCAGTACCAATTTCCCGACCCCGGAGGGATGAGGGGAATGGTTGGCTCGGAGCGGAATCGAACGAGCACCATGTTATTGATGACCGACATTACTACCACTGCGCTATCCGCCCCCTAGTAGAATTGTGATTAAACTGTACAAAGCAGATGTGCTTTGCATTTTCGCTTTACATTGATAAACAAACAATGGGACGACATTCGAAAATGAATGTTTTCGAAAACATTTACAAGGAAAACGGAATTACAACGTGCGCATTAACTTCTGAGCAACTTAATAAATTCTCCGCATTCTAAAGTGTTGATTTAACCATAATTTGCTTCTTTCTTATAAGGAGAACACACACTTCACTAATAGGAACGCCTTAGTCCGGCTTAACAAGCCACAAACCAATCACTCGTGAGGAGGCGGGTCTTCGATGGCGCCGAGTGTCCATCACCTTGTTTAGTGCGCATTTTTGCAGGTTACTATATGACTAAACAATTTTTTTAGGAATCCATTTATTAAATACATACAGACGAACATTACAAAGGCGAAATAAATATACACCGTACTCATGCACTCGTTAGCAGATTACTTGTTTGGATACTAATTTGGTCCGTTTTCAAACAACAGGCGGACCGACTCAACCACTTCATCATTCGTTTTACAATCTTGCAACCGTTATCCATAAAACTATCAAGCGTCGTTTATGGTTGGTTCCGCTACGACTCGAGGATTAATCAGTCCTCCACAGGAACATGATGGATGCTGATCAAGCACTGTTCTCCTGAATCTTAAGAGAGCCGTGCTATGGTGCACCCAGCCCTTAACCACAGCTAGCGACCAGCCTTTGTGCATTGAAAGAAGGTTTGGTGCCTTGCAAATGGGACTATTTCAGAGACCGACTTTCACATCACATTATTAAAAACTTGTTAATGATTATGTTATAGAAGGCATTATGCACAAAAAACCGAGAAAGTTCAGAAAAATCAGGTTTTCCTACTCTTAAAAATAGTTGAAAAATGCCGAGAAGACGGAGATAACAAGCATGTGTGTGATGCCAAGCTCGACTGAATGAAAAGAACATTTCAAATCGCTATCATTTAACAATTCTTATTAAACTTCTTCTTTCCTAAACCAATAAATTATTTCATCTTCATAAACTCCTCATGTCCTATTTCTTATTAATTACCTATACAGATATTGACAAATGACAGATGAAAAGTGATGACAAGCAGCAGAAAAGAAAACGACATAAATAGAGTCCCTACAATTCGTCGTGATTTCTTGAATGTCCTAAATGTTCCAAGACTATTCGTACTATTGCATTTTTGTCTTGCGTATCCAGCTGTAAACCCCAGATGTCTTGTCTCTTTCCGTTATGTTGTCGTCCCTTATAGAAACGTACAGTCGGATAAGAATGGATCTAAAACGTCAACAATATCATCAATCTGTAGCTGAGACAATTCGCAGGTATGTCGAACCTGAGCTCCTTGGCAAACTCCTGGCCACTGATCGCAATCCACTTTCGCTAGTTTCACTTTGCCGTCAAGCGCCTAGGGAAAAAATGACATCGTACCAAAATTTTTAAACAGAAAGTCGGCCAATTGTTTTTTTTTTCTGTCTGACTAGTGGTTTCACATCATTAATTCTCCGACATCGGCAATTCCCATAGTACTTACTTTTTACTTCAATGATCCGTCTACGCCAGAAAAAAAACACATGCGGTCCCACCCATCCAGACCAAAATCGATTTCACTGAAATGTTGCTCAATGGTCCAGTTCTATTCTCCATGCAGACCGACAAAAGTGGCGCCAAACCAGAACTTGTGGATCGAATGGAGACTTGCAGCCTTTCGAATCGGTGGTTCCTCCAAGTGCAATGAAGAATACTGGCATGCGCTTATCCTCGGTTGAACTGTTTGACAAAAAGGTCGCACTTCCTCTTGGTTTGGATGACCCCGACGAAATGGGAGATGAATTTCTCGTCTACATCGTAGTTCTACACTTACAAGGTAGAATTTTTATCTAACCTAGTACTCATTAGAAACTTTGAAGACGTCGCGGTACAACATCAAAGGAGATTCCCATTCGGCATCAAGGGCGGACTTCAGTTCGAAACATAGTTTGGAATAAACTTACTTCCCAGCAACTCCCTCGACCGACTTTCCATTAATCTCAGAATTGGTCGAACAATTCTTCATATTCTTGTTTAGTAAACACGAGGTGTTATTTTATTTCTTTTTAACGCACAAGCTGACGTTTCGGCGGATTTCGCCTTCCTCGGAGCCTGGAAAGATCAAGTTGACCACAGTCTAAATACCCAGCTAAAGGATAGAAAGCGGTGAATGCGGTGAGAAAGCTATTCTGCGTTCAATATGACTGAAACCATGGTTTAGCATTTTCTCTGTTTGGTTATGGAGGTGTTTGGCTGGGTAGGTTGCCATAAACCTGACCTTCCCAGGGTCTGAGGAAGACGAAACCCTCCGAAACGTCAGCTTGCGCGTAAACGAAGAAGTAAAATAACACCTCTTGTTCGCTAAACAAGAATATGAAGAATTACTTCTCCGTTTTCATTTATCAACACGAAAAAATTAAACCAGTGAAGTTCAGCTAGAAAAATAATGTTTCGAATGTACCCCATTCAAAAGGGCGCAAGTGGCGCAGTGGTCAGAGGGGCTCTGCAACACACACGTGGAACCGAACTCCGCGTCTATGGCTCACCAAGCCTTCTATGCCTCCGGGGTCAGCATATTGGTACCAGACTTGTCTAAGAGAATGGCAGCGCTGGCTCGATACATCGGTAGGCCACCGCGAGTCACTGTAAGAGCCAGTCACTGCATTCAATCACCACCAAACGAGGCTTAATGAAGTCGAATGCATGGCGCATCCCTCAGGGATTGATCAACGCCGAGGGCTTTATCCTTTCACCCTATTCAATATAACAAGGTAGAATTTTTATCTAACCTAGTACTCATTAGAATTCATTTGATCCGTTGTCTAGGACTATAACTGCTGACGAAAATTCTGATGTGGGATAATTCATTAAAGATGGAGGATGAACTCCATCTCATTTGGATCAGATAAACCCAAATACTATTAGTGAAGCATTCTATTAGCTCTAAACACCTAAGTAAATCTACACCTCATTTGACTTCAGGGATTTCGAACCTTTGCTATATGCTCATAAACCGGCGAGAAATGAACACAGTGTCCACACCATGGCGCAAAGAAGTCCACCATCCATGGTTCATTCGAATCCAAAACCTGAACTTTGGAAAAGTGATTTCAAAGGCTCCATATTTGTATCTAATGCACAAAGATAAATGTTCGCATAATTCACTCTTACTTGTCCAGTAGTTAATTGTTTGTCAAGCTGTTTGAACCTTAACAGGAAGGAGCTGGATTAATTAATATATTAATTAAAGGATATTTTGGCTCATGTGAATCCCCAGGGGACCAAACAGTGTTTCTTCTCCGTGGTATGGTTTTAAAAAATCGCGGCGTTCCCTTCTGCTCATATATGGACGACAGAATTTCTAAGAAAGGTACAGCTGTTTTCATCACCGTTGATGACACCGGGTATCTGAAGGATGGATAAACAATGTATTTTTATCTACTATTTACCCATTAGAAGGGCTGAATTGGTTGCCCTTATAAAGGGCTGTTCGTGCTTCAGTATATTTTCTATTTACTATAAATAGAATATCAGCGGTTTAAAATGTTCCTGAGAAAATCCTTTCAGCTTGTTGCCACAGGTTTCTTCAGTTCACCACTACAGGCAGTCGATACATGAAGTCGCTCAGAAGCAAATTAGCAGTTCTACAACCAGATTTTGTGCAGCACAAAGACGATTTCCACCATAGGTTTTCTCCCAACTGGATTTCCTACCGTAAACATCGGATTCCTTTTCAACATAGACGATCTGCTTGAGGAAAGGAACCGTTTAAGATGAAGTAGCAGCCTTTGAAGAGAATGTTCTAAAATACTGTAGTGACAGAGAGGCGTGCATCGCATTGGCAATCGAGATGCCCTACAACACAATTGATCTGTCGCTTGTTCGATTACACGCCCTGGGCTGACCTAGCCTACGCTCTTACCGGAGTCGACAATTAATACCAGACTTGTTTAGGAGAACAAAAACATCAATCTGACATATCGATAAAAGGATAAGGAAAAGGCTCTCGCCGTTGATCAATCTCTAAAAGATACGCCATACATTCCACTTCATTAAGCATCGTTTGGAGGTGATGAATGCATATCTGGCCTTTACGATGACTCACGTTAGCCAACTGATATATCGAGCTAGTGCTGCTATCCTCCCAGACAAGTCTGGTATCAATTTGCCGACCCCGTAGGGATGGAAGGCTTGGTGGACCACGGAAGAGGGGACCAATTCCACATGTGTGCAGCAGGGCGCCTCCGACCACGGCGACACACGCGCCCTCGATACATCGATAGAGCAGCTCAATTCACTGCATAAGACAAAACATTCAATCACCTCTATAACTCTTGATGAAGCCGAATGCATGGCGCATTCGTCAGGGATAATTCAGCGCCGAATGCTTTATCCTTTTATGCCTTACCCAACAATATCAATCGCTCTCAGTAAAAACAATGATGGAAAATCCCATAGTCTACCGGTTTACCTAAGGTGGGTTAATGCGGTACCGACCTGTGATGTGGAAATGCACGTTTACAGCAGCTTTACTCAACCTGAGAATGAGTTCTGCCCCACCATCTCGAGATCTCGAGGTTCACAGAAGAGCAAATATAAGGCGTAAGTCAACAAGGAAACCTTGTGGACAATGCGGAAAACCTCCCGTTAAATCAAAACGTCCTGAGATTTCCTGCACTGTGAACCTGGGAACGCCCCGGAAGAAGTCCCTGGGACAGACAAGCAATTTTGCCAAGCAAGTCACATACCACTTGAACAACAAAAGTGCATAGGTTAGCATGACACATGTTATGAAGCCAATGAAGCAGAACTGACGAAGGTGTTGAAATACAGAAGCATCTCATTAGAAACCTATATTTTAGCAACATATACAACAGCATTTTGGAAAAATAATAGGTAGCACAGGCATATCTATAAGTGAAAAATTATCCCAGTAAATAAAACTGGCCAAGTATACTAAATTAAGGTCCAAAAAAAAGCTGCACAATGGTAGGGGTAAGTGGGAACTAACAGAGCGAGAGTATCCAATGGTGTGATGTACTTTTTCTCTCACAAAACGCTTTGGTTATAAAGCTAATTTTAGCGAAGCTGCTGAAATAAGAACAAATTCGTATATAATGCTGAGATATTTGCAAAACTCCGGACCGCAGGTGTATGCGGTAGGGAACTAGCTGAGTGACAGGCAAAACGAAGGACCCGGATGGTGTGGTGGTGAAGTGCGCTGCTCCCCTGTAAGGACAACAGCGCGTGTTCGTTTCCCACCGCATACACCTGCGGTCCTGAGTTTTGCAAATATCTCAGCATTATATACGAGTTATATTTCGCAATATACCCTGCCATTAAAAAGAAAAAGGCAGTAAATAAAAGGGTTAAGAACAAATTATTTGCAAAAATTCACCACATAGAGAAATAAAGTTGTGTAAAATTTTATTCAGATCCTTGAAAAAATCAAACTGTAAAGGATGCGGGGGCCTCGGTAGTGCAGTGGGTAACACGTAACACCCCGGAAAGGGTAATCGCCAGTTCGAATCTGGCGTGGGGCGCAAATTTTGCAAATATTAGAATCACAAAAAAGTTATACATTGTGATTTCGACTACAGCCTCAGCTTAACTGGGTTCAATGCCGATTTGTGCACCCCAGATCATTTCCGTCGTAAGGTAGTTGCTGATGGCACCGTTATAGTAAAAAAAAAAAAAACTAGCTGAGAGAAAGTCAGAGCCGCGTCCTCAGTGGCGTAGTGGGTAATACGTGTGAAACCGAGGGTAATCATTGGTTCGAATCTCGTCTAGAGTCTAAGCTTTACAAATATCTTAGCATCACAGTGGATGCAGAATCCTTTTGATGCAACTTATTAGAAACCTAAGTATAAAAGCCGACGAAATCATAATGTTTAACGTTTTGTTTTCTGCCTTCTATAATTTTCATGGCAGGTTACTAAGCGAAATACAACCACAACGTTGCTGAGATATTTGCAAAACTCTGGACCGCAGGTGTCTATGGTGGGGAACGAACGCGCTATTATCCTTTCCGGGGAGTAACGCGTTCACCACCACACCATGCGGGTCCTTTGTTTCGCACGTCTCTCAGCTATTTCTCAGAAATCATACTTATCTAATCTAGGCACTTTAATTCTTTTCAAATAAGTGGAACGTCATATTCATAAAATTTTTACAACAAACGATATCCAAGAAGTCATTAGATTGGTTAGCAGGATTCAGAAAACAAAAGAATAAATTCGATGATCTAATCTTAACATCTGTCAAAGAAGAAATCTAGTGTAACCAACTTATCTTAGATCTCGAAACACTTTCTGGGATACTGAGGAAGGCGATAAGTTATGCTTACCGTGGTCCAAAAGTCGTTCCCAAGTGAGGTGACCATCGACGGCAACATACCGTATACCCATCGTTCTATTGAGTCTGCATTTCTCCACATATTCTGCGGATACTCACTAAAATAACTCTCTCCGGAATCCCACTTCCTTTTCTCTTGCCAAATATTACTTGTAGGCTTATAAAAATAAAGAGCCAAGACTCTAGTAGAAACAAAGAACTAACTAAAAGGACTTTCTTCGCTTAGTGTCAACTGCTGGATAAAGCCGAATAGATGGATAATAGGGAATCGAAATCTGTTTGCAGAAAGCGTCATATTCTTGGCAATCGATGGAACCAACGTGTATCCGTTCGTTGAACTGCCGTAATGCTCGTGCGGCCCGTTGCAATTCTGGAGCCAGCTGAAATAATGTGGACAAATATTGTTACCTTATGAAACTTCTACAAAACCCATTGACGGAAATGTGACACTATAAACAAGCAGATGAGCTTCAATACTCTTACTGAAACACTGGAAGACTCCGTAGGCATTAAACAAAAATTTTCAAGGATACCTGTTGACACGGCCCACACCATGGAGCGAAGAAGTCCACTATCCACGTCGTGTCACCTTCACGACGCTCGACCAATTCAACGAAGGTGCTCGGCGTCAGCTCTTCAACGGCCGGATTGAGAGCATTCTTTAAAAAGGTGGCAAAGTGGTTATTGGGTATATCAACTCATGTGGCATATATTGGAGTATTTCCCATGCATAAATTACATCGATCGAGAAAAAAGTCCTAAATTAGCTGGTTTCAGTGCCGAAACAGTTGAGTATTAACCGCATCGCAATATTTTGAGACTTCAGCGATTTGCACAATTTAAAACATAAATGTTAAAGGACAAAAATACAATCAAATCATTGCAAAAATATAGTAGGAACTTCATATGGTTTCTTTAAGCAAATTTTTTTCTACGCTCTATTTTATTCGATCCGTCTTCACGTCGGCCGTGCGGGTACCAGCTCTCCTTGCATCCACTGGCCACGAAGATCTTCCAACTTTTAATGTGTAGCTTCGGTTGCTGCTTAAGGATTTTCGTTTCGTTTCATTTCGTAGAATGTTGGTCGAGCAATTCTCGCTGGAGTCCTGAGATAACCTGGCTGGAGCGTTGCCAGCCGGATTGCGGAGAGTGATTTTTTCCCAGATAACTCCGTTACCAGTTTCCCGACCCCGGAGATATGAGAGGCTTGGTTGGCCCAGAGAGAAGTTGAACTAGCACCATGCTCGTGATGACGGGCATCACTACCACTGTGCTACCTGCCCCCTTTCTTAGAAAGTTATTAAGCAAATCTTGATCTTCACAGAAAACCAGAACCTACATTGATAACTTCCAACAAAGAGTGTCCTGTATGATATCCCACAAATCTGTGCACACGATTGTCCGGAGTGTGAACAGCACTGGTCGGATAACTGGATATGATAATGTAGATAAAATAAACTATCTATAGATATACAAAAAAGATCATAGAAATAACATAGAAGCGGCAGTAGAAAGCTGGTAACATGCCTGTGACTGGTCAGCACTTCGAAAACCTGCCTCTTGACGAACCGACTAATCACACTTCGTGGCCAGTTTTTTCTTTGTCACTGCCAAAATAAACGCAAATAATGGAACTGGAACCGACCTCTGAACACCAGCATTTTGGCAAATATGACTGTATTTCTGGCAATCGACTAAGCCGATACGAATTTTTGAAGTGACTACGTCGGCTGGATCGATAATTGAGTGCAAACGACGATATTCCGAGATGAGCCTCAAACATGGAGGACACCACTGCAATTACGTATTTTCAATAATGAATTCGGTTACATAATGTAATGTATAAAATTTCTGAGAAAATGAAAATTTCTAGTGTTTCTTCTCCTTTCCCTCCAACTCTCATTTCTTTAATTCTAAAATTCTCTGATCAAACAAATGAAAAGGAAATCTTACTGAGGCGGAGAAACAAGTAACTCAAGCGCTTTCGTTGACGCTACCGTAACTCTCTACTGACCGGCGCAAAGTAGTCTATGACCCATAATTGGCCGCTATTTAGCGCCTGTTGGTAGGTGACCTCGTCGAGTACGTGCAGTGGCGACGCCTGTGAATCCTTGATGAACACGCTCACATCGTGGTAGGACGGTTTATTCACTGAAATTCTTATTGTTCACCTCTTTTTTAGTTGAAACATTTGAAAATATTCACCACTTCAGTAGGTTTCCATTGGCGAAGAAACATTGAAAATCAACAATGATGGCATGGAATCATGAAATAAAATATGTGCGTCGACAACCACTCTCAGTTGAATTTTTGATGGCTAAAGGAGCATTTGTAGCACGAGATCCGATCTCCCATGTTGGTTGAAACCAATCAACGTTTCCATCAGGAAGTCTAGCTAAGAGTAAACCAATACCAGGATCCCCACCGTATCAAAGTCGCATGGTGGCAAATCCCCTCTGATCCACAAGGGCTGCGACTGCCTGTGGTGGTGACGATCTGAGGAATGCTTCGGCCAGCCTGACCTCGGGACTCCAAGGAACCACAATGGCTTGACCAGCAAATCTCCGAAAAATGATGATTATGCTGGGCTCCGCACAACTAGTGAGGACGGGCCGTCCAAGTATCAAGTAAGTAGGATTAGCAAGGGCGGGTATCGCAGTGGTAGTGATGTCCGTCATCACGAGCATGGTGCTAGTTCGATTCCGCTCCGAGCCAACCTGGGCCTCTCATCTCTCCGGGGTCGGGAAATTGGTACCGAATTCTTCTGGGAAAAAATCACTTTCCGCAATCCAATTGGAAACGCTCAAGCCCGTCTATCTCAGGACTCCAAGGAGCATTGCTCGACCAACACTTTACGACATTCAAGATGAAATGAAAATCTTCAAGCAGCAACCGGAACCACACGTAGAAACATGGAAGACCTTAGTGGATGATGGATGCGAGGAAGTGAAATGGATGTGAGAAGTGCTGCGATTCGCACCGTAGACGTGAAGACGGATCAAATAAAATAAAATAAAAATAAAATATTAGCCCGTATATAATGCTGAGATATTTGCAAAACTCCGGACCGCAGGTGTATGCGGTGGGGAACGAACGCGCGCTATTGTCCTTACCGGGGAGTAGCGCACTTCACCACCACACCATCCAGGTCCTTCGTTTTGCCTGTCTCTCAGTTAGTTCTATCGATAGTTCTATCGATATCGATCGGTGCGCTACTCCTCGGTAAGGACAATAATGTGCGTTCGTTCCCCACCGCATATACCTGCGGTCCCGAGTTTTGCAAATATCTCAGCATCATACACGAGTTACATTTCGCAACATACCCTGCCATTAAAAAGAAAAAGGCAGTAAATAAAAAGAGTTAAAATATTGGCAATAGTCATTTTGATAGACCGTCGGTAAAAAGGAAATGAATGGATGTGAGACGTTGGACATACCTGTCCGTTCGCCATGTCTGATATTCTATCCTCGTTCGCACCCTCTACACAAGAAAAGGTTTTGTGCCATGTGCCATGACAAACAAATTCGTCAGGATAACGAACTATTTGGTATTTTTGCTGTGAAGGTCTCACAAATGTTATTAAGTGATAAAGAATAACTGTTCTAATTCGACTTCACTACACTGATCAGTGTTGGAAAATCTGTCGAGTTGATATAGAACGTACAGCTAAACTCCTCTGTACAGCAAAATGGACAACCGAAATCGAAATAAGTTGATACAAGTTCACGCCGGCAGACCTACCCAGCCCATCTCTCACATATGGATAGAAACCTGCTCAAGTACTACATTAAGTGTTAAGGATCTATAGCAGTCTTTGAGACCATCCTTCGCTATATGAATGCACATACTGCAAGAACACATCCAGGCTTTTATCCTGGGACTAAATCTTACCTTACGAAAGCGGTAGGAAATTTTCCAGCGGAAGTTCTTTAAAAATGAACAAGCAATAGAAGGTCGTCTACTCACCGTAGTCGATTTCGTAACCTCCAGTTGTTTTGAATGACACGAATTGTGGAAGCTTAGCTACATCCAGAACTGAGCGACACAGATCCATAAACTTCGAACAGTCGGCGAACAAAATCTTAAAATCACTTCTATTCGTCTAAAAACTTTCAGAATTTTACAGCTCTATGAAATATGACCACATTCAATAAATAGATAAAAATGGCATTGCACTAACTTCGAGGGTTTCCAGTATTCAAAATAATCACTATGAACCGTAATTCTTGAAGTTATCAGAGCAGTAAGAAAACTTCTCATGATTTACCGTAACTCAAACGGAAGCTACAAAAGGGCATACTTTGTCTCAGACTTTCATGGTTTGAAACGTCTATTAAATTAAAAGCTAAGAAACAAACGAGTAATTCATCTAAAGGTCACCCTCCTATTTCAAAGAATATTTTAATTAGCGCACTTCAATCTGTAGGTACACATGCAAAGTTTACGTATCGATTACATTGCAATGTCAATCGATTAAATGAGGTAGGGAGCACAGACATATGTTCAAGCGCTAATTATTGCAAACTACGAGATTTATTACAACAATAGACTAACCTTAACATCGAGCAGCAATGGTGACAATTTCTTGTAGTCTTTTCTCTCTTTCAGTGTATCTCTGTTCGGCACAAAAAATACCGCTGTCGGCTGATTTGCTCCATTACCATCTAAACAACGTATGAATAAATTTTGTTAGTTCTATTCATTTTAGAAAACGGGTAGTACAATAGTAGCGGTGTCTTCCATCCCGTGCACGGTGTTGCTTCGACCCCACCTCGGGATCACCAAACATCGTATCTCTCCAGAGTCGAAAAACCGGTACCAAGCTTGTCTGGGAAAAGTTCATTCTCTGCAATCCAACTGGGAACGCGCTAGCTCGGCTACCTCAGCCTTCAGAAAGGATCGACTACACCAGCATTTAAAGATATTCATTACGAAAGGAAAATTTCCAAGCAGATGCCGAAACCACACACAAAAAGTTCGAGGACTTCCGTGGATGATGGATGCGAAAGAAAACGAATCGAATGCAAAAGGTGCTGGAATTCACACACTAAATGTGATGGATACGATATACGATTTATATGATGAAAAAAACCCTTTTATTGACAAATATATTTCGAGATAAACGATGTTGACGATAGCCTATGGTGATAACAGGCGAAAGGTTGCAGAGGAATATCCTGAGATTTCAAGTAAGGAGAGAAGAAAATGCAGAGGGAGTTGTGCTGAGACCCATGTTGTCCATTGAGCGATTTGAGTATCTAAGTATCAGTTAAATTGTAGCAAATACCTGGAAAGTCTCCAGTACTCTTACCTCGGTACATCCCAGAAAACACTATTCTGTAAGTAATACGATAAATAAATAGCATTCGACACCATATCGAGCGGTGAAAACACAGTCCGTCATGCTCCGTAGCAAATACAAGAGCCTTCCGATTACAGATAGGGATGACAACTTCATGGGTACCAAATGAAAAAGAGAATATCTGGACCGGACGACCGGACATGATGCCAGGATAATTAAAGCAAGTAACTAATTCGATCCTTTAATAAGCGATTCTTAAATGTTCCCATGACCTAGTTACTTGTGGAATCGTTAGAGGTGTCTTTGCTATGCACATTGTTTCTAGCTCGATTCCATGCCCAGTGCTAGCCAAGTCACGCATCCTTTCATTTCATCTCTTCCGTTATGCCAACAATAAACATTTTTAACGGAGTAACTGAATATCTGGACGCGTGCAGCGCAATGACTAACAATTCCCAAGACCGACTTCTCTTAACCTCGGAATTTATTGATAATTCACTGTTTTTCTTCGACAAACAAACATAAGGTCACGCATCCTGACACTGTAGAATTTATTAGCATACTATAGCCGACATTTGGGCGGTTTCGCCTTCTTTAGAGCCTGGAAAGGCCAAATCGACATGCGATCTACTCAGCCAAACACTATCATATCCTTAACGGGCAAGACCTAACATACCAACTTACATTCACATAATAAACAGCTTCTTTTAAACACCCACCGTTTTACTCTTGGCATGTATTCCTATAAATTGGTGGAAAGCAGCCGCACAGAGTAATAGATGCGCGAGGACTGTGCCTTGGTCAGGTTATTGAGTCAGCCCAATGCACGGCGCAATGTCACGCGTGATAACAAGACACTCCTCCTTAACACACAGTTGCTTAAAAAGGACCGGTTTAGAAAACTCGGTAAGAGTGATAGTAATACCATCGGACACTCTAATACGCTAGCTAGTTCATAACCGCCTATATGACCGTCTCTGTACAATGAAAAACTGCATAATATGCCCTTAACGGTAGAGTTGGCGATTGCATGAGTTCGGCTACGGTGTACCTAATCTCTTGCAAAGTGTGTGAGGACGAATACGTTTGCAAACCGGGTAGACTGCTCTTCGTCTGCTTAAAAGAACACCTAGTGGGTAAATCTAAATTAAAACCAAACACTCCACTAAGCGCTCATATATAAACACAACGGAGAAGATTTTGAAGTATAAGTTACTATCCTCGCAAAGGAATCCAGGATATCGACGCGTAGAACTCTTGAAGCGTTTTGGATTAAATCCAAAAGTCCAAAAATGAGCCACAAAGATGAGTGTTTTGTTATCACGCGTGACATTGCGCCATGCCTTAGGCTGATTCAATGACCTGACCCAAGCACATTCCTCGCCCATGTATTACTTTGTGTCGTTGCTCTATACCAATTAATAATAATACTTGTCAAGAATGAAACGGTGGGTGTTTAAAATAAACTGGTTATTATGCGAATGCAAATTTTCGTGTTAAGTCTTATCTGCTAAGGTTATGAAAATGTTTGCTGAGTAGATCGCATGTCAATTTGACCTTTCCAGGCTCTGAAGAAAGCGAAAGCGCCGAAACGTCAGCTATTGTATGCTAGTAAATTCTAGCCTCCCAAAGGTTTACTACCTCATTGCGGCTGGGAGATGTTTCTGGGTGTTGGGCTGCAATATACAGCAGGTGGATCATTCCCTGGCATGGTCTCCCAGGCTGGGAAGGAGTCCGGCGATTCCATCGGGAAGCCTAGCTGAGAGTAAACCCATACCAATACAAAGAACCACCCCCGTCACCACGACCGTCTTGGTAGAAAATTAGTTGCATAGTGGTAAATCTCCATCTGATCCATAAGAGCTGCGACTGCTTGTGGTAGTGAAGATTTGGAGCAGACGATGGCCAGGCTTACTTCGGGACTCCATGGAACTCCAACGATTTAACCAGCAAATCTCTGAAATAGTAGAGATTTTGCTGGGGCCCACACAACCAGTGAGGACGGGGCATTCAAGTACCAAGTAAGTAATAAATTCTACAATATCAACCTCGTCTTTGCTTATCGAAGAAAAATAGTGAATTAGCAATGACTAACGGTACCGTGCAATAAGCACGGAGTCATTCGCTGGACCATGTCTTAAGTTAAACTGGCCTCCCATTTTCCTGGAGTCGTAAACTTGGTACCAGGTTTCTTCGATGAAAAAAGTTCATAAAAAACTGACTTGACGCATCGATGGTGAAGTCATTTTATAGCAAAAAAAGCATTCAATCACCTCCACGGTAACTGATGATTGAATATATGGGGCAAAATTAAGGAACAGATAGAAATAAACGAATTATTACTAAGCAATTGATAAAGTTCCTCCTTTTCAATCTCCACAAGGTCGTCGAGATAGAATAACACTTCTTCTGCAAGTTCCTTTGGATCCAGAGAGTTCAACGGCTAAATGAATTCTTTGTCAAACATTTTACGTAAATGTGAAAACGAAATTTTTAAAGTATGTGGCTCACTTTCTCGTACTGCTTCTCCACTTTCCCATGTGGGTAGTACCGAACTCCTTTCGAGACATTCAGAGAATCACACAAGGATACCTCTGTATGGCAGTTTATACTCCCCACATTGACGAGTCCGTCAAGCATTACAGCCAGTTTCTTTCTGCAAACGGAGCAAAGAACGTTCCCCTCAGACTACCTAACTAAAAAGCTATTTCAAATCAACTTAGTTTCTCCTTAGTGCTTGACAGCCACATTGCGATAGGGGATGCTCAGAACAGCGATCCAGAAAAAGTTTGACACTTTCAATCATAAAACTTACCTAAGAGCAAACCCATATCGAGACAGAGCAGAAGCGAGCTACCTGTCGCTACCTACTCGTCAAAAGAACTGAAAAGAAGCAATGTGCAAAAACCACAACGCATTCAGTGTCCCCAGTTAACGGGCGAAGTTCAGTGGGCGCGTTGGTTCACGAATAGGGCGAATGGAGTTTACTGAAGTCCGCACGAATTATTCGATAATTAAAGGAATTACGATGATCTCACTGAAGACGAAGTTATTTTCCACGAAAAATGAAGTTATTTCCAATTTTCGGGAATCAATACTATCTTACATTAACAAGCTAGCAATATATAGAAATTTGACGCACAGCGACTGAAAAACACAAAAAGTAACACTTTTATGCTTTGTAAACTTTTCAGAAAACGTTGGATTTCTCTTAGCCTTGAGCAAGCCTTTTTTGTACCTGCATCACCAGCTGACACTTTGTGTTTGTTGCCTTAGTGACACTAAAAAAGGATGATTGACGGACACAAGATGTGTATAACAACTAGTAGAAGCCATTTGGGGCGCGCTGTCCTACCTACAACAGCAATTTTTTGTGACTAACGACTCATAAGCCCCCTTTCCAAAACGGTTTGGGTAACGTCATAGCATTCAATAGGAATGCGGTTTCTTTAAGCGAAATAGGTCCATGGATTTCCCTCGGGTGTTTAGCCTCAGGCTTTCAAAAACGTGGTATATTTCAACGTGTTCTACTATCTGATATTGTGAGGATCTTCGCACGCTGTAAACTTTTTTTGTAAAAGTCACGTGTCAGAGAAAATACTACTTTTGCAGAGAATGGAAATCCCAAAACGACACAATCGTGCTTGTATTCATAATGTTGAGCTTACATGTTATCCTTACATGCTACCTAGAGCAACAGTGCATAATCCTACTTTATCATTACTGGTCATAAAAAAATCTCATCAGACAGTTCCTGTACCTAAGATGACCACGCATAGTAAATGCTTTCAATCACCTGCTAGCACCGGTTAGTGGAGAGTACAGATGGTGTCCATCCGTCCGTACCCGTAAGGGACTGATGAATGCGCGAAGTTTCATCCTTTTATCCTTATTCCTAACGGAAAAGCGCGTTTATTATAGTGGTCAGAGATGTTGTACAACGCCCACTTCGTCGCTGGTTCCATAATGTACCCAAGCTCCAACCAACCGTCGCAACCCTCTGGGTTCGGTACCAGAACTGACTAGGAGGATAGTAGCACTGAACTGATGTATTGAAAGGTCACTGCAACTCACTGTATGGATCAGGTGTGGATTCACTCACCTCTAACGATGCTTAATGAAAGCGAACGTAGTGTGCATCTCTCAGGGATTGATCAACGCCAAACGCCTTACCCTTTATACTTAATGGATATTATTTGTACTGAGGTACTGACCTATTAACCGAACTGAGACAAGAATCCGTTTCATCGCAGAAGTCAATGATCCACGGTCGCGAGTTGTACGGCTGCCATTCCTTTGTCAAAGCTCTAACGTTGTCGGCGTTGAGGTAAAGTACCTGCGCAAAAACACAAAGCTTAACATTTGGAATGGTGACAGAAAATCGAGAGATCAAAGAATTCATTATTCAGGTGGCCAGAAAACAGTAAGTTGTTTTAGGGAAACAGAACAAGCAGAATCACCTAACAGACAGCACAAGAGGGCAAAAGATTTGATGAATGCAAATAAAGTGGCTTGAAACTGAATAACTCTCGAACTAAAAATTGCTCAACCGTCAAAAATAAGGACATCTAGGAGAAATGTGCACACCTCGGTCATTACTCTCTGAAGAACGAACTCCTGTAAAGACTCGACTTCACGAGCACCTCTGTAGAGTTCGCCCTAAAAAACGATGTGGACGCAGGTCATACCTTACAAAATACCGTATTAAGGCCGATACGGTAAGATAGCTATTCAAATTACCGATGGATACAGAACAAGTGACGGATAGGCGTAAACTCGCTGCGACTGGCACAATCCTGGATCTTCGGCGCAATTAACGGCACCAATACGAATGGCTCCCTCCATCTCTCTGGCAAATTTCCTCCACTATAAAGAAATCTATGACAAAAATCTATTACTGAGCATATTTACAGTTTTCTAACAAATCGCCAAAGCTCTGGTTCATAATATATTTATTTTTGATATAGTTTTGGAGAACATTCAGGCAACCATAGATCCACCGTAGCGTGACAAAACTTGCCCAAATGGCGAAAACGTCCCATGTTTACAATACTACAACCAATGTGAGAAGACCGATTATGGCAATCTACTTGACCATCTTTCTTTTCATCAGATTTTATTCCGATAATTCGTTGAATTTCTTATTTTCTCTTTTCATATAAATAAATAAATCGCTTTATAAATCTTACATGACTCGTCTTCATATCTACTATGTAGGCTCGAGTTCATGTATTCGATCCGTTACCTTGCATTCATCATCAACAGGGGTCCTCAAACTTTTGCGTGTGTGTGCGACTGCTGCTTAAGGACTTTTCGTTTTCGTTATGAATGCCGTTGGGTGATCTGGTCTAGTCACTACCTTGTAGTCCTAAAGTGGCCATGGTAACGCTCCCAGGTGGACTACAGACAGGGAATGGCTTGTTTCCACAGAAGTCTGGTACCAATTTCTTGACGGCGATGGGATGGGACTGGGCCCGGAGCTGAGTCAAATCCCTAGCGTGCTCATGACGAACGGTACCTCTACCGCTGGACTATCCCCACTCGTTCTATAAGTTGGAGTGTAGGTAATGGATAGAAACTAAATGAATGACGATGTAATATGATTCCGACAAGCAAGACATGTTAGCCGCGCTACACAACCACCCTGCGCTGCGATGCGATAATGAACCACTATGCGCTCTTGCCACGCTGTAGCTTAATCGAACCTGTTATTATCATAAATCGCACCCATTGAAAGCTCCTTGATAGATTAGACGAAAATTTTTATTGTTAAAAAAACAGTACATAATATAGAATCGTCCTTAATAACTTGAAAACTCGGAAGTGTATTCCTGGGTGTCGGACCGCGATGTACAGCCGGAGTCTGTCACTCCAGAAGACCACCCAGATGGACTTAACATTTCCATTCTCAGATTTAAGTAGGAGTAGCCCTTTGCCAAAAATTGCTTCTTTCCTGGACGAAACTTCGTTTCAAGGCAACAGACCTTATACTCTTCCAGGATCAGCGACCAACTGTAGTAGCGGCAGCCAGCGAAACGCGCTGTCATCAATAACTCGGATCTACAGGATAAAGAAAGTTACCTAACCAAAAATACCTCTTAGGTAAAGATTTTGTTAGAGTTCTAACTATCCTTTGGAAGCATTGATCAACGAAGTGCCCAGACAAATAATACCGTACGAAGTAGAACCCCTCGAGAAGATCCCATTAAATTTCGTTCTTCCAATCCCACCTCATATTGGATGTCATAAACAAAAAAGAGTTTGTTGCTATAATACAACCTGTCGTAATCTTAAGTTTCATTTCTAATAACATTTTTCAACACAACGATTCTTCAAGAACATTGATTTCTTTTCACAAAGAAGTCAAATCTGTGGCTGTACTCATCACGCTCGCTCATTCTACCTGCCGTCTTTTTAACTTAAAATGCTTTAACGTGAGAGAAAAATTAGTCCTGTAAAAGCTACCTTACCGTGGGAGCCAGCTGATGACAGTGGGAGCAGTAGGTGGAATAGAAGTTGATGAACCACAACTCATTTGACTGCGACACAAAATGAGTGAAGTCGACTCGGTTCAACGTAACGATCTCCGCATCGTCGTCATATATACCTAATATCACGACATTGTTCCTTTATTTTCCTATTTTCCTGCTTTCCATTCCTATTTTTACAGCTAAAAAATACATGGATGGAGCTGTTGTACAAAAAAAAGTTTAAATGTTGATTGAATGATTGATTAAAAAGACAGCGAATGTTCGTTTTATTTAGTTTCCAAATGTGTAGAACTTCATTTCTTGGCTATACTCACCGTTCTCATACAGTAACACAGTAACTGACGCCTACGATTTTGTGATTTTCTGACAAGATTGTAAACTATTGACTCGGCCATAACCGGTCGTTTATGTAACGTCAGGAACACAAAACACTAAACTTCTCTAAAACCCAGTAGAGTCGCTAGAGCTAACGCCTGACTTGAAAATATAGAACGGCAATCGAACACCCTGTAATGTCTGACCGAAAGCAAAACTTACCAGCTCTCAAGCTATAGCCGAACACCACACACCCACACCCACACACACACACACACAAAGTGGACTCAAGGTAACGGAATGAGTAGAGGTAAATGGATATGCCACCCGTATAATACGTGACGACGAACGGACATCTAAGCATCTAATTATTGTGAAATACCGCCCAGATAGGTTCACTAATTGAGTACGAAATATTTGATGTCCTATGCTTCATGGAAACAGCGGAGTGGCTAGTGATGCAGTCCCTCATGAAGCAACGTGCTGGTTCGACGTCCTCCCCAACGCTCTCTTCTTGCTCCCTACAAGACTGCAAGGAGAATCGACTCTTCCGGAATTCTACGACATTCATAAAGGCGAAATCCTCAATCAATGGATAAAACAACAGATGAAATGCTTGAAGACTTTCGTGGACGATGAGTGTGAGGAAAACGAATTAAATGCAAGAAGTCCTGGAATACGTGATGATGTGTGAATAGATGTGATGAAGGGTCATGCAAAAATTGAAAAAAGGTACCGATCCAAATATGAAATCGAACACCTTCTTTTCTTTGCGTTACCCGAATAAGATACCCGGAGAGTCGAAGATTATGAGATTTACCATAGTTATCAGCGATTAAATTTAAATTATGGAAAAGTTCTATATGCTTCTATTTCAACATGAACAGCGTTCGAGTGGAGACGTGATCCTCCCTTTAACCTATTCCGCCTTGGCGCCGTTTTTTGTCGTTGACCTAGTAGGATGCGAGCAATTTTTCGTCGGCTGCAGACTTTCTGGTCTTTTGGGACCAGAGCGGTTTTCAAAATGACAGGATTCTAAAAGAGACTTTGCGCTATCGTTCTATCAGTATGAATTTTATGCATGCTACTACTATAGTCCCTCCATACTGCAAATGTATATTGAGGTAGATTAAAAAAAACTAGCTCAGAGATAGGCGAAATGAAGAACCCGCATGGTGTGGTGGTGAACGCGTTAGCCCCCGGAAAAAGTTATAGCGTGTTCGTTCTCCACCGCAGTCACCTACGGTTCGAAGTTCTGCAAATATCTCAGCATCATTATGGTTGTATTTCACAAAATACTGTGCAGTGAAAAATTGTAGTAGGTAGCAAATAGAAAGTTAACATTATATTGAGTCTATTTTGGTTTTTGCACATCCACACATTCCATAGAACAACATAGCGATTAAAATTAAGTAATAATGAATTGTTAGCCAAGTTCTCGGCCAATGAACTTTTTCGAAAAAAAAACTTGTAGACCATTAAGTGTAAATAACGGTTGTTCTGGTCTGACCCATTCGATTTTGATCTGATTTCTATTAGCTATCGAATGAATATAAAGAGTGCTGTAAAAAAACAAGAGTCAGGAAACCCACTAAACTAAAGGTGGACACTGTGTTGTCTACACGGTCGTTTGGTCCAAACCACTATGGACACTATAGTGTACATACGGGACAGAATGGGTTAAGGGACCATTTATTCTCTTCATTCATCACCTACATTCACTATAAGTTTCAAGCTCGGAAAAAAATGCACAACGAAGAAAATTTTTACTTACCAAAGTTCTCGTTGTAGAACTGCCATGATTGATAGTTATTTCCACCTTGGAAACCATCTTCTAGACCTTTCTCACCGTATTGATCATATTTTTTGCGCATTTCCTCGTCTTTCAAAACTTCATATGCTTTGTTGATCTTCACAAATTCCGCATGAGCATTAGGATTATCCTGAAATTCATGAGAATGTTTCAGTTTTGTCAAAAATTCTCTCGTAAATAACTGATCAGCATCAGACCTCTGGTCAGACTTATGTTAAATGCGTAGTAGAAATTACATGTATCCATCACACCCCTAATGGAATATCAACCCCGTGCTTAGTACCGGACTCGAGCAAAACGTCAGTTAGTGTCACTTGTATTTTTGGCCCTCAGTGAATGAAATGAATGTCTGCTGGATGTGGAGGCCATCAGAGGTAAGAATTCTGGCAGTTCAGTCTTTTCCATTGGAGTTCTTTAGGCGATTTTATTTCTTGTTTCCCAAATTCCCGCCGATTTTTTCATAATTAGACAGGAAACAAAGATGTCAATTTACAGCATCTTCAACCATCCAAACTGCTACAGCATATTTTCGGTTACTTCATGTGATAGCATAAATATAAAGTATCAACTACTCATTCGATCGATATCTATTGTTTCTGTTACACCTTGCCCGAAAAAAAACTTCCTATCACATTACTGCCTGCTATTGCACATTATGCTCCATAGTACATTTGTGGCCTGTAGGAAACTTAACTACTCATTAACTTCTTCCATACTTCCAGTAACTAATTATTCCCATTAATTACAAAAAAATGAAGAAGGTAAACATGAAATAATTGAAAACTTGGTCTTAATCTGTTGAATTCAACAAAAATGTTAATGACAGCGTTCGTAGAGAGACGGAGTAGTTCCCAACGAGAAAAAACCAAAGAACACACCAAACCCACCTTATTCTTATCAGGATGTTTCTGGATGGCGAGCTTCTTGAAAGCTTTCCGTATAGTTCGATCATCAGCATCCTTCTCAATACCAAGAAGTTTGTAGTAGTCCTCATTGGATGAAACTATCGCCACCAACATCATAAACGCCAACAAGGAGAAGAGGAAACGCATCATCTTTAACCGTCATGGCTAACATCATAGAGAAGGACTGGACTCATAAATGTTCAAAATCCACAAACACGAGAATTTACGAAGATGACTGAAAAGAAAAGAGCTCTTTCATCCACCAATACCCACACCCTCTCTACCAGTCCTCTCACTCCCATAGGCTTTCTTTTCCTCTCACACATCCATTTCGAAATCGATTTCTCTAGAAATGAAATCCTTTTGCCTTCGATTCCATATATGAGGAATAAACGACAAAAACCCCTTAGGCAGCTTGTCGAATCTGCTTGGAACAGCACTCCACTGTCTCACTTTGTAAATAATTTTAATAATACATGAAGAAAGATGAGGAAAAATCAAGAAGGTAAATGGAAGTGCATAATTCTCCTCTATGCTAAATTATACGGGAGTTTTATATTGTATTTTATAGGAACACTTCTTTCCCAGTGAGTGGACCCTTGAATTCCCAGTGGCCGAAATCCCTAGTGGTACTAGTTGTACAAATCCATGCTTCCACATCATACCCGATCTTTCAATTTGCACAAACAATTTGACTAGCACTTATTTGCACCTAAAAAAAAGTTGATGACAATCCTATATAATGACAAAACTCGTTGACAAGAAATATAATTCTATTGATAAAAAAACAATGAACCGTAAGAAGTTTTCAAAACATGACAGGCAATCAATACTTAATATTGTAGGTGCATAATAATCACAAAACACTATCTTAACTCTTTTATTTACTGCCTTTTTCTTCTTAATGGCAGGGTATGCTGTGAAATATAACTCGTATGAAGTGCTGAGATATTTGCAAAACTCCGGACCACAGGTGTATGCAGTGGGGAACGTACACCTGTGGTCCGGAGTTTTGCAAATATCTCAGCACTTCATACGAGTTATATTTCATAACAAAACACTATTTTTGAAATATGCCCTTTTTAGGCCATGTGGGCCAGTGTGAGTGGTATGTGTAGTGTTTTTGGTGCCTAGACTGGTGATGCCGATCAGCACGAGTGCGATGCTAGTTCGATCCCGCTCCAGGCTCACCACGCCTCTCATCTCTAGTAGGTCGGCAAATTGATACTGGACTTGTCCGGGGATCATTGTCACTCGCTGCAATCCAATTAGCAACTTAGCAACGCTCCAACCAAGCTATCTCAGGACCCCAGGAAGAATAAACTCGACTAGCATTCTATGACATTCAAGACGAAACGAAAATCCTCAAGCAGCAGCCGAAGCCACATGTTAAAGTTGGGGGACTAAGGTAGTCGGTAATGGATGCGAAGAAATGAATTGAAAGTGAGAAGTGCTCGTATCCTCATAGTACACGTGAAGACAGGTGGTATAATGGTAAATTTTTTAAAAAGTTGAAAAATGTTGTGTACATAGCAGAATGGTGAATATAATAGCTGCAATCTTCATGTTTTGCCATTAACAACGGGGACAATAACATTCAAATAACAACAACAACAACAATTATTGTCAGGACAAATGGAGACGAATGTCACCTCTTCACCGATTTCAGGCAAAAACCATTTCATATTCAAGAATGAATAGCCCAATGTCTGCGATTATCAGTAATAAAAATAATAAAAGTGTAATATCACCGTCCTCAACCGAAGAGATCGTAAACGGACGGAAGAAACCAGGGACATTTTTGCTAGTCATCGCAGACAAGCTTAAGAAAGTTTAGATACAAGCTAAATACAAGTGTAAATAAAATAAACAACGAGAAAGGAGATCTGATAAGAAGTTCTCGAAAAATCACTTAACGTTCGACTTTTGAATTGTGTAATTAAACCAGATGTAAGAAATGATAATTAACGAGATGAACACGAGCCATTACACAACAGCCGTTCAAGTTTATCGAAACACTAGACATGGATAACTCATCAGAGATAATGCTTACAAAATCAATAGCTATGTTTTGCACTAATGCACTCGAAGCAGACTAATATGACTCAATCAACCGGCTCAAAATATGTGGCTAGAAAAACGGAAGAGGGGGGCTTGGACATTCTCGGACTACTAGGAGACCAACGATTTCTCTGTGGTACCCGGATATTTGGTGATGTAGTTGTTTGCATAGATGGGTCAAGAGTGCAATTATGAAGAGGAACGTGAAAATTTTTCCGGAAGCCTCATATTGACTCTGTTTTTCTCTACATAGAAAGGGATGGATAAAAAAAAACACGGTAATATAATCACAAAAACGTGAAAAAATTGCCGTCGATGATCCTAAACATCTTGTCACATCGCTTGGAGCAAAACATTAAGTTGAAGCTGATGTTACTGGATTAGACCAATTAAATATACGGTAACACTGAAGATAATCTCTGATTCCCGATAGCGCAGTGCAACGAGGCGCCGCTTAACTCTTAGTGTTGATGTTTTAATATCGTGCTCGCAGTTGCTAAACCCTTCAACCTAAGCGACCGTTTGCTTATGACTAACCCGCTCCTAAAAGTTGAATAGACAATCTACCAACTACCATCTTTCACTTGCTTGCAATCTCTAGGAAAAAGAAAAATCTCTTGATTAACTTCCAAAAGAAACAGAAAAAAAGAAAAAATGCTAGAAGAAAAAAGTATAAATTCTAAATCAACATCAACGACGCATTGTGAATACCACTCTTAAGCCTCTCAGTTCTTCATCTAAAACGATTTTCAAGTACTTCAAAGTTAAGGAAACGTTACGAACGGAAGAGACCTTGGATGAGGGTGGATCCGAGAAATCCATACGGCTATCGAGCCTAAGATTTATGGGCTAATCACAAGCCTATTTTCTGTCCCAGCTGAAAATCGCATAAGAGAAGAGCAAATATCAAGGACTTCCTCTTATAAATAGCAAAACTTATTAATGTTGGACCGAACATTACATCTTTAGACAGACAGATGTCACTTCCGCTATTTTTGTTCCCAACAAAAAGAAGTGACGCTTGTTGAAAAGACCTCCGTAAAAAATTCCTTAAAGTTAAAATAACGATCGATAAAGAGATGGAGCGAGCCATATGAGCTTCGTATCGGAGGGATCGGAGGAGAGAATGCGGACGGAAGTGAAGTAGGGGTGAGGGGGAGAGGTCGTAGCGGCAGTGCAGGAATCCCGAAACGCAGGCGAAAGTTCATGGATTTATGGAAACAGAAAGATTTTGATGCTTAGAAATAAGCAAAATTAAATGGATAGTACCATTAGTATAAGGAAACTAACAGATTTTTTCCTCTTTTGCCAACGATCTTGTGAAGAACTCATGGAAATTCGGTGGCGGGCTATACGCCTAAGGGAAATCGTTTACTCTTATTCACAATTTATTCCAGAAGCACTAAACATCTTGGTACTGTAAAGTTGTTGGAGACATGAAGAAACGTAGAGAGGGTGAAGAATCGGTGAATGAGAAGCCTAAGAGTATATCGTGACGTCTCGTCGTCTACGTCGTTCAGAACTCATTTATTCAGCTAACACTTCTCAAAAAACCGGGATAACTTTACCCCTAAATTACATGGATCACTCCAGAAAATCGGCTTTCAACAAAATCGGGAACTGTTTTCAGGACTTTCTAAGAGCTCTAAGTCAGTCCTGAGACGAGTGAGCGTGAAACGAAACAGAATGCCATCATGACATTCTCTTGTTTCCGCCATTAATAAACGAGTGAGCAATTTTTGGATAACTGAAGGGGTGGAAGAAAGGAATGATGGAGATTGGGCAAGAACTTAAAATTCGATAAAGATGCTACTACTGAAGAAATTCTCCGCACGAACGGAATGAGTAATAAACGATGAAAGTATGACAAACAATAGTGTCTTCCGATGGTGAAAGCAAGCTCTTTCATAAAGGGAACTTTTTTGCTAGAAATACAACTTTTACAGAAGGAGAAACATCGTGAAGAAAAGAAAAACCGCCGAGAGTGAGAACGGAGGTTCCAGGTTTTAGGTTTCCTTTAAGAGCCACTACTTATACTAAAGGATAACAGCACTTATAATGGTAATTACTCTGCTGCTAAGGGCAAAAAGATCGGCTAGGTTTGTCCAGATGTCCATCTGTTTAAAAAGTACAAGAAAAAAATACTCCTCATCCAACGTTTCCGAACTCTGCCATCGATCGATACGTACTTCCATCACATTCGATCGATATGTACGTCCACCAACTGTGCGCGTTGGGTCGAAAGGGGTCACATACAGCACAGCAAGTGCTCACATAGTGGGAACGGAGCGATCGTCATGAGCAGCCCGAATCGGCAAAGCCAGGAAAAGAACCAGAAGAAACTAGTTCCTCTTACTCTATAATTAGAAATGGAGAAAATAAACGACAAGGAAGAAGAAGATTAGGGTTGGATGATGCTCGATAAACGATAACAAGGCGTTCGACATTGATCAAATCCCCAGGGAATCGCCATGCATTTGAGTCCATTCGTAGCATCGCAGAGTGGTTGCCTGACATATTTGGACTATATAGTGACATGTACGGATTTACTGATGTATCACGTTAGTATTTTTATCCTTCCATGCCAGTCTGGTGCATTTTCCAGTTCCGAACGGATTCGGAGAAGTGGAGCTTCGTTTGCGCAGTTGAATATGTTTGGTAAATCATAACTGATTACGATTCCTATGTAACCCGAAGAAGAAGGTCTCCTACATCACGGTCAATTTCTCGTTCATAAGAATTTCCCGTCTTTGTTTAGTTATTGTGTATTTACACAAAAATAGTCACTATTAAGATATTGCAGGGGCTGCATAAATGAATTAGAACCACTAAGAAAAAAATAATCATTAAATCTTTTTTCGAGATGGCTCACTGAGGAAGATCTGGCCCGACACGAAGGCGAAGACGCAACGTCGAGACGAACAACAAGCATGGACCATCGACTCGGATCACCGGCCCTGAGGAAGACGAAGACGTCGAAACGTTAGCCGAAAATAAATATATTTATCAACCTCGTGCAAGCTTATCAAGAAAGAATACATATTAAATCATTAAATCTTCCAGAAAGAAGGGATTTCTGGATGGTA